CTGCAGCGACTGCTCCAAAACTTGAGCAGCGCTCAGTGAGTTCCGTGCCACTCCACGATCAGCCCGTGAGCCACGCTCGGGACTCCTGTCCAATACACCGTTGGTGTCTACCAACTCGGACATTGCAATGTCTAGCACGTTGACCATCTCGATCCTGTGCTCTCACCAATAGCGCTTTTGTCTCCTAGCAGAGGTGGGTTCATTACTCGCGAAAGCTCCACCAGGAGACGTGCGCGTAGCGCCCAAGATCTTTGACCTCCGACCAACCCATGGCTCATAAAGTTCTAACCATACCATTCCTAGGATGAGGTATTACCTTGCATCTAAGTCTAAGTCTAGACTGCGTTCCACGCTTTCAAAGTCAAGGAACTTGACTCCGAGGTCCACAGGAACCTTCTGGACCGTGACACGCGTCTTCGTCGCTAGGCGAACAATGACAATGTCACCCAACTACGCTTTCAGCGCCTCAGCTTACAACTGACTTCCTCCCATCGTGGTGCGTCGAGCATAATTGCCCGACGCCCCAGAATCGATGAGGATCTTCCATGGCTTTTTGAAGCCCTTTACGATCGCTTCCAGGACCAGCAAGCTCAGCTTGCACACACGTTCCGTGTTTTAGAGCACGGAGATCTTCGGGGCTGGACCCTGTTCAACTATGCCTCCCTGAGGCTCAACAGAACCCAGTTCTTCCCGAGTAGGTCGCCCCGCGCCTACTGAGTGGTGTCGTTTCCACGCGACGAACCAGACTAGTGGGCGTTGGGGCGATGGTTCGAAGGACCTTAACGCGCCTTGCGCAGGAGGCGACCGTCCCGAAGGGGACAGGTGTCTCCACAGACAAATTACCGTCGAAGATGTGTATGCTGCCCGGCAGCTCGGAGCTCTGCTCCCTTGTCCTCAGCATAGCTGAGATCCATGGGCATAGGCCAGCTCGACGAGCTGTTGGAGTGTGCATTTCAACCAAGTCGTGCCGACTCAAAATGGAATTTGGCTTCCATTCTGGCCGCGCCAGTGCGAAGGCCTTCCATAAACACGGTCACTGTGACCGCCTTCGTGAGGGGTCTGCTGCCATCCCGGCAATGAGAGTGCGCATCTCTTGGACAAAGTTCACCAACTCCTTGTTGCCCTGTCGGGCGGCAAGGAAACGCGCTCGCACGCGATACACCTGGTTAGGCGGCGAGAACACACGTGAGAGCTGCAATTTCAGCTCCATCCAGGAGGGAAACGCAGCTCCAACCGAAGTGCCGCACGTCCGTGCCCATTCTCGCGCTCGACCACCGAGCTTTGAGATGGTTAGCGCCACGCGCTGTTGCTCGGTTTGGAGCATGGCGGATGCGATGGCCATCCTGACCTCTTTCAGCCAGAGCAGGATATTCTCTCCATCCTTCCCTTTAAAGGCCTTAGCGCTCACCATGAGCGGCTTAGATCGGGGGAAGTCATCCGTCACTGACGGTGGCGTCATAGACGCAAATGATGCAGAAATCTTCTGCTGCAGGTGCTCTAGGAGCGCGTTTTCTCAGAAACGCCTCTAGACGCGCACCGATTGCCTCGGGGCCTTGCGCAGCAAGGTGTTGCAC